CCTCCTGCGCCCATCCTCGGGGCGGGGAGGGCTCCCTGTCGATCGGGGGTGGGGGTGGGGGGTGTCAAGGCTTGGAAGGAACCTTTTCCCACTGCAATTACACCCACCTCCCTTCCCTGCCCCCACCCCAAAGCAGGTCCAGACCTTTCTGCTCAAGCAAACTTTTGCCAGTGCAAGGGGCTGGGGGAAAAGAAGCTTTCTTTCTTTCTTTTTCCTGGTTGGGGGGGGAATGCACCGTAAAAATTGTGTGTTTTAAAAATGATTTAGGTTAGTTGTTTTTTAATAGTATTGCCATGCATAATTTCACTTCAATGTTATGTGTTTGGATTTTCAAAAGTACAGTACTTATGTTATAATCTCTGTCACTTAAAGTTTTTGAGGAAGCAGCCCTGTTAGTCTGGGCAGTCTCACCAAATACTGTAAACAAAAACACCTACAGGCCAAAAAGAAACAAAGGAAGCAAACAGAATAGGGGAAGCAAAGAGGCAGGACCATGGCCGGAGGGGGGGGGTTGTCTGCTTGACCCACAAAAGCTCACTTTGCACTATAGCTGTTCGTCTTTCCTTCTCTGGCTTTTTTGTAATGTTTTTTTGGGGGATGGTCTGAGATATTTATCATTGTGGTTGATCCTCTGCATTGGAAAGAAGCCAGAATGTCTATGAAATAAATAAATGCACAGATGAAAAAGGAGGAGAAGGGAAGAGGAAAAATACATCCTGATGACTCTCGAAGTCACTTGACAAGAGGAGGCCAAAGAAGGGAGGCAGCCACACAGAGGGACATGCGTTTCCCATGTTGTCAGTAACAGGAAGTGGGTCAACCAGCCCTTCTTCCCAGTAAAGATCAACTGATAAACACTTTTATGAGCGTGGCTTTCCAGCAGGCTCCACCTGGATCCGTGTTTACTCCGTGACTAACAGTCAGGGAGGCAACAAAGGGCTTCCCCCTAATTAAATTCAGAGTCACCATTCCTGCTCCCCAAGAGAAGGTCCTGCATGTCAGTAACAGGAAGTGGGTCAACCAGCCCTTCTTCCCAGTAAAGATCAACTGATAAACACTTTTATGAGCGTGGCTTTCCAGCAGGCTCCACCTGGATCCGTGTTTACTCCGTGACTAACAGTCAGGGAGGCAACAAAGGGCTTCCCCCTAATTAAATTCAGAGTCACCATTCCTGCTCCCCAAGAGAAGGTCCTGCATGGGGGGGGNTCTGTCCAGCAGAAGCGCCCCTCCTCTCCAAGGGGGTCAGGCCTTCTGAACCACAGAAAACCAAGCCAAGAAAGATGCACGAGAAGGACTTTCTGAAGGGAAAGGCAGGGAAAAGGTGGCTGTGGCCGTGCATTAAATTAAAGGGGCAGTTGGGAGGAGGTCCCCAATTGGAACGAAGGGTTGTGTGTAGGTAACAAAGATCCACTTGCCTGTCCACCCCGCAGAGGGGACCCTGTGGCCCCTTTCCCCCCCTCCTGCCAAGGGGCCTTGAGGGGCCTCCTGGCTCTCAAGATGGCCGGGGGGGGGGAGAGACACACGACCTGACCGCTCCTTGTCGACTGTCTCTTGCCTTCCCCAGCCCCTGAGTCCGGGTGGACTGCAAAACAGCCACCTGTTAACTCGTGAAGGAACCCGGGGCGACCCTGCCTAGGAGCCCAGCTGGTCTTCCACGTGGAGCCTGAAGGGAGGCATTTCTGGAGGGCTGCTCGAGTGTTGCTGGTGAGGAGACACAGGAGCAGGGGCCATGATTCGAACAGAGAGCTTTGTTCGCTTCTGCCTGTGGCTGCTTTGGGTGCCAGGTGCGAGGCCCCACCATGCCCAGCCGGAACAGGTGCACCTCTCTTACCCGGGTGAGTTTCATGGGGAAAAAACAGGTTTCTGTGGTTTTGCTTTCTCTACAGCTCTGGTTCTCTGTGAAGGCCTGAGATTGCAAGATGGGGAGAAGGCTGCTGCCCGGACGTTGTTCAGCTATTAGCCGGCAGAGCCAATGGCCAGAGAGGGTGAGGGGCACAGTCCGAAAACACTGAGGGGGCAGCCGTGCCCCCTGTCCCTGCTCTAAACACTCTCGGACCAGAGGTTCCCTCAAGGACTGCCTCTGCCCATAACAAGGCCATCACTCGGGCAGAGAGACCCAAGAAATGTCCAGCAACTCCTTCCGGCCCTCTTGCTTTGGAAAGCGGCAGCGGCTTCTTTCCTTTGAGTAGACTCTGCTCTCGCCTCTGCCTTTTTCACGTGGAGGAGGTGTCCGTGGCCTGGCCTCAGGGGGCAGAGTGGGCGGCGGGGTGGGAGGAAGGGACCGTTGCCCCTGGAGGAGTGAAAAGAGCCAAATGTGGCTCTACATGCCAGGCCAAGAACGGTGTGAAAACATTTGAGCGGCGAGACCCAGAAATGGGGGCTTCTTGGCACAGCGCTTGGCAAAGCCCTCTCCTCCAAGAGGGTCCATGAAGGTTCTCCCTCCCGGAACGTTTCCCCTTCGTGAGATCAGCAGCAAGGCCAGCAAGCAGACACACAATTGTCCAGCGGTTGGCCAACTGTGCTTGCTGGCCTTGCTGCTCATCTCTGCTTGTTCGGGTTTTCTTTGCCTGATCTTTGTGCCGATGTTCTGGAGCCAGTCGGACCAGCGGCCAGACCCTGGCCTGAGGCTGCTTCTGAGACTCCTGGGACCAAACCCATCTCTCCTTGCTTTCGGCAGGAGACCCCACCTCCATGAGGGTCACCTGGACAACCTTTCGCCCCGCGGAGTCCCTTGTGGCCTACGGCCGGGATCCTGGAGAGGCCTTCACCCACGTGGCCAGAGGCAACGCCACGCGGTTTGTGGACGGTGGGAAGTTACGGCGGACGATGTTCATCCACCGAGTCACCCTCCAGGGCCTGGTGCCGGGAGAGCGCTATGGTAAGGCCTGGATCTCCTCCTACGGCGTGGTGGCCCACGGAAGGGCGCCAGAGGGGCCGGGAGCGTGGCGCCTCGTGAGGCCCTGTTGGGAGCGCTGTGGAAGCCTCTCCTGGTGTCTGCTCCTGGTGAGAGCATGGCCAGGATCCGCCTGGCCTGTCAAAGGCAGCCGTGGCATCGTGGCGTGTTGAGCTGCCTCGGGGTCCCTGAGCCGGCCTGTCTTCCTGGTCTTTGCAGGCTATCGCTGCGGGAGTGAGCTGGGCTGGAGCAGGCCCTACAGCTTCCGGGCCTTGCTGAACGGCAGCGACTGGAGCCCCCGCTTTGCCATTTTTGGAGACATGGGCCTGCTGAACCCCCAGTCCTTGCCTCGGTTGCAGCGGGAGACGGAGATGGGCTTGTATGACGTGGTGCTGCACGTGGGTAGGGCCCGAGGGAGACCACTTCCCCTCCCCATGCCTCTTTATTTATTTATTTATTTATTGGACTTATATACCGCCCCATAGCGCTACAAGCACTCTCCGGGCGGTTTACAATTTTAATTATAGCTTCCCCTCCCCCATTGCCCCTTTGCCACAAATATCCCTTCCTTGGCCTGATCCTGTCTCTCTCTCTCCCCCTGCAGGGGACTTTGCCTACGACTTCCACACGGTAAGGGGTTTGCCGGGCTCCGTCCCTGCTTTTGGATGCAGATGTGAAAAGGTGCCTGAGTTTTTCCCCAACCTGACGTCTTCCAGATGTGTTTTTGACTGCAGCTCCCATCATCCCACTCATTGCAGCCTATGGGAGTTCTAGTCCAGTTGGAGCAGACTGACCTGCACAGCAATGATGTCAGGCCAGGATGTGTTCCAGGTGTCAAGAGTAAAAGGAGACACACAATAACCAGGCACGCTGGGTGTGGCCCAACACACTCTGCGTTTTCTTACTTAGCTTCTCTCCCTAAGTGGGTTGAGGCTGGTGTGCCAGGAGCCTCTCGGACCTTCCTGGGTTGACACGAGCCTTGGCTTGCTCGCAGATTGGCTTGCTGTCATGCTGTCTGCATGAGGCTGCTTTTGACCAGGGTCCGGGAATCCCAGTCCGGTCCTTGTGGGAACAGGGTTACAATCTCTGAAGCTTTAACTCATGGGGGTCCAGGGAGGCCAAAGGACCCTCCCCTCTCCTAGGAGAGCCCTGTCTTTGTGTCCGAGCATCGCCTGGTGGGAGACTCCAAGGGACGTCCGATCAGGCTTTGCCAGGGGCTACAGGGCAGGAGCGCTTGCTGCCCATTAAGCCAGTTCTCCCATTCCCAAGCAGCCCTTTCTGTCCCTGGCAGGATAATGCCCGCGTTGGAGATGCTTTCATGAGGAAAATTGAGCCCGTGGCTGCCTCCTTGCCATACATGACTTGCCCAGGCAACCACGAAGAGAAATAGTGAGTAATTCTGCCAAACTTCCCATGCGCTCCTTCACCCCACCCCATGGCTACAGTCAGGGCCCAAGAAAACTGCCCCAGCCCCCTTGCTTTTGGAGATCATGTTTAATTCTGCAAGCAGAGCTGGGGAAAAGTGACCTTCCAGGGCTGCAGGGCCAGAGTCCCCGGCTTGCAGGGCCCCCGACCAGGTACAGCCCCCAAGAAATAACATTGGCAAGCAAGCGCCTTGAGTCATCCTTCTTCCAGACTGGATTCTGGGCCCGGAGAGCTGCTGGGGATTAAGCTGCCGGCAGCAAAATCCTGGGCATGTTTGCTGAGAACAAAGTCCGTAGCAAAGCTCAGCAGGAGGAGATCACGTTGCCTGCCTGCCTGCCATTTCAAGGGCTGATGAGTCATGGGGAAAAGCAAGGGCGAGTGTATTTTTACCTGTGGAATCTGGGGAGCGGGTGGGTGTGGAATAACAAAGTTCCCCTGAGCGTATGCAGAGTGCGTTCCCTTGAGTGTCATCATCCTGATCTTTTTGTTGGTAAAAATGAAGGATGTGAAGAGAGGGTTGCCTAGGGACCCCCCCCCACCTGCCCTTTGGTCCTTCCTGACCTTCTCCCTCCCTCTCCCGACAGCAACTTCTCCAACTATCGATTCCGCTTCAGCATGCCCGGCAACACAGAGAGCCTCTGGTACAGGTGAGTGTCCAGCTGTCCAGCAGAGGGCAGTCGTCCTGAGCCATCAAAGGCAAGAGTTACTCTCTGGGCAGCCACTTCCAAGAGATGTAAATCTGGAAAAACTGTGCACCCCAGCTGTTGTGGGCTGGAAGGGTACCTGAAGACTAGGAGCGTCCTCGTTCTGTTAAACGAGCCCAGGAGGCCACGGTCCGGTGGGGAGGCGGGAGCACGGCCTTCCGTCCTGACCCTGCTTTCGTGGGACCTGTTGCCGCTTCTCACCTGGAGGCCCGACAGCCTCCCCTTCTTAGGCCACTGACCACCGGTCTTCCCTTCCAGCTGGAATGTTGGCCCGGCCCACATCATCTCTTTCTCCACGGAGGTGTATTTCTTCTTGGAGTATGGGTGGCGGCTTGTTGCCGAGCAGTTCCGGTGGTTGGAGAGGGACCTGCAAGTAAGGAGCGGGGCTCTGATTTGGGGTGGGGTCCCCCCCCCAAGGGTGGCTGCTCGTGGACACAGTCTGCAAATCAGACTTCCCTGGGAGAACCTTTTGAACAGGGCACGCCTTCCAAGACCGTAGCCTTTCAAACAGAGGACTGCCCTTGTAAAAGAGGACACAAGAGTGGTCCCCTTTGCTTCCTGCTGACTTTTTTTCTTCTTGTGCCAGGAGGCCAGCCAGCCCGAAAGGCGCAAAGAACGCCCTTGGATCATAACCATGGGGCACCGGCCCATGTACTGTTCCAACAATGACCGAGACGACTGCACGCAGCACGAAAGCATTGTGAGTGAGAGGAAAGAGCCAGGGAGAGAGAGGTGTGTGTGTGTCCAGTGTCATGAATTCAGTTTCACCCAGTCCTTGGAAAGCAGCTGTGCGACCAGCCCTCCGCCCCGTCTCTTTAAGATGCCTTTGGTTCAGTGTTGCGTTTGTCTGCCCACGTTCAACCACATCTCTGCAGCCGCTCTAGGACCTTTTTCGTCTGCTTTCATGCTTCTGTTTGTTTGTTTTTAAATTGTCTTGAGAAAGTTGTGGTGGGGGCTTTTTGATCTCTCTCCCCCCCCATTAGACTTTGAATGCATTGAAGAAGACGAGTGTGGTTCATATTAAGACTCAGGTTTAGCATATTTTGTATCACCCAGTGATAATTCCAGGGAGTGCCCTGAACTGGCAGCCGGAGTCCTTCCTTTCTCCTTGGTGGTTTGCCCAAAGCCAGAGCGGGAGGCTTTCTGTCCCAGTGCTCTGCCCCACCGTCTGGGAGAGCAAAAACATGACACCAAGGGCCAAAGAAAGCTCTCGGTTGGTTGGGACGGCCCTTTGGCTCAGACCCTTTTTTCTTTTGCCTGGAATTGAGGGCTTCATTTGCACCTCTTTGAGTGACAGCACAGCATGGCAGGCGTTTGGGGTTTCTGCAGCAAAAAGTGTCTTCGCACCTCTTTGAGTGGCAGCACAGCATGGCAGGCATTTGGCGTTTCTGCAGCAAAAAGTGTCTCGGGGGATGAAACCTTGTGCATGAGGGTTGAAATGCAGTTGAGTCTTGAGGAGACCTAGTCGGGGGGGGGGAGAGGAGCTCTGCTTCTGCCAGGATGGAGGCCCACCTGCAGTTTTCTGGGAGTCCCTGGAAGCCACGGGGGGGGGGAGGGATCTGGGGAATTTCCAAGACTTGACAGGGGCTGATCCTTATAGCTTGTTCCCCCCCCCCACACAGGTTCGCTGTGGGCTTGGCCACCACCAGTACGGCTTGGAAGACCTGTTCTACAAATATGGTAGGTTGAGCATCTTAGTTCCCCCCCCCCCAGTGGGCTTTCTACCAGCACTCTGATTCTGCCTTTCAGATGATGGCCACGTTAAAGGGGGGGCTGGGGGGGAGAGGGAGAGATGCTGGCCGAGGAGTGTGCGGAGTAAAGACTAGTTAGGTGGGCCAAGAGAACATCTGGTCAGGGCAGTTGTTTTTCTCTGCCTTGACTGCCTTGCTGTCCTTGGGGGAAATGGGTGTGTTGGAAGTTTAAAAATATGTAACAGTGAAAGATTTTAGGGCTCAGGTTACAGGAGACGTCTGTGATGGATGTTTAGAGACTTTAGGACGTTATGCCTGTAATAAGCAGCCCACAAAGGAGAAAGTAAGAAGGCCAGAATCCTGCTGGCAAGCACGCTTTGTGGGTGCAATTGTGGTTGTGTGAAGGACAGCCCACTAATCTGTTGTGTCATGCACACAGCGCATGAGTTGTCTCCCACCACAGGATTTTGGTTTAAAGTACCGTTGGTTTGGATCTAGGAGAGAGGCGCTGGGCGAAGGAATGTCAGCCTGTCATAGCGCCAGGCAAAAAATCTAGAGGAAAGGAATCAGTTCTCATCATTTGAGCCACCAATAAAAGAAGGCTGACAGTGTTGAGGTGTTCAGTGGTCACTGAAAAAGCTGACAATATTAGGTTTCTAGAGATTTTATTTTTTTAAAAAAAGAATCAACTCAAGGTATGTCCAGAGGTGGTGGGGGTGGTTCAATATTATATTTCTGGGGATGAACTACAGTGAGGGAGTCTAGCGAATGAGATCCTTGAATTTTGCTATAAACCCCTAGAATGCTGGATTCCAAAAGAGAAAGTCAGCAATGATGACACAGACATGAGGTGGGGTTCCTCCTTCCACAGAGGGTCCACCGTTCCCTGACAGCTGGAGTTTGGCTGATTTGAAAGCCTTCAGAACACAGTACATCTTTTACTTTTATTTTTGGTCTGGATAATCTTCATCAGAGAGCCAGTGTGATTTAGTGGATCAAGTGTGGACTAAGTATTCAGATGGCTTGGGTTTAAGTCCCTCTGGGCCATGGGAAACTCACTGGGGGAAGTGTGATGGAACTGGCAAAACCAGTCCTTTTATCTCACATACCTTGGAAACCTCATTAGGGTCCTTATAAATCAGATGCAAGTTGACAGCAGGAAGGCAGGCAACAAGAACCCCCATCAGCTGTACTTCAGCTGCTGTTTCTGCCCCTTTGACTCTTAAGAGAACAATGTTATCTTCCCAACCTTAGAGTGGGAGGAGCACACCGAATGCCGGCCAATATTTTCTTTTGTTTATTTATTGAAGTTTTAAAGTCCCACTCGGTATCAAAATATTTGTGAGATGGCTGCAGACAGTAAACAATATGAAACACTGTATCCATTCAGACTATTCGAAATGACATAGAACAACGTAAAATAGCTTAAACAGTTTTTCAGAAATCGCAACGGTGTAGTACACGTTGTATTCCATCAGGGCTTTCCGGCCCAATCAAGCCGTGATTCCTACATCCCTAAAAGCTTTCACAAAGGGCTAGATTTTAATTCGGTGCCAAAACTGGGTTTCTGCAGGGTGTGCTTTCTTAACCAGGATGACAGGGCAGAGCAGGAGCTTTAGAGAAATGGCTGACCATTCAGTCACATTTTTTTTTAAAAAAAGCCCTTTAAGATTTTGTGTTGGGCCATGGCCGCCAGGCTCCCAGGTCTTCCTTCTCCTCTCTCTCTCTCTCTCTCCCTCTCTGAATTTTCCTCTCCCATCTCTCTGTAACCCACCAGGGGTTGATCTGGAGCTGTGGGCGCACGAACACTCCTATGAGAGACTCTGGCCGCTCTACAACTACAGGGTGAGTTCGGATGGGGTGAAAGGGTCCGGGGTTTCCTTTGCAGGAGCCCAAGAAGGTGCCCGAAGCCTCCGGGCTGTTGGCCTTTGGGCCAGAGCAAAGGTGGAAAGCTCTGCACCCCCCCCCCCAGAACACAGGTGGGAAAAGTGAGCTGTTGGGGACCCCCACCTGCCAGGCTTCTGCCTCCCTCCCCCATAAAAGCAAAATAGAAATAATAATAAAAAAGACAAAAAACAAAAAACAATAAAAAAGGGACTTAAAGACTTAACTTTTATATTTTTTTAAATATGAACTTTCATGAACAGATCCACTTCATCAAGTCTGATAAAGTGGAGCAGTCCAAAAAAGCTGACATTTTAAAAAATGTTAGTCTTTAAGGTGCTGTCATGCTTTTGCCTTACTAGTGGTAGCTTTATCCCTGGTAGAGTACTTGATTGATAGACTTATATACCAGCCCATTAGGGCAAAGTACTAATCTGGGTGGTTAAAATCAAACAGTACTAGTAATGAACCAACAATACCAATAGTAAATAAAAACCAAGGCTAAAAAGAGCCACAGGCTTCCACCCCCTCGGTCTGCATTTTCTCTGCATTTTCTCCTTTGCCTTCTCTTTGCTCCCTCCTTCAGGTTTACAATGGCAGCACCGAAGCCCCCTATACCGACCCTGGCGCCCCCGTGCATATTATCACCGGATCGGCTGTAAGTGAGAGGTTTGGGACTTGGTCGATGTAATTCTGAGTAGAGGCTCGTGTTCAGGGGGGCTTAGGTATCCTGATGTCTCCCTGAGCATGTACAGAATCCATCTCATAGAAATATATCCCGAGTCAGCGTGTTTATCCATCTAGGCCACCGCTGCCTTCTCCAGCACAGGGCTGGCCAGGCGGCGCTCCCAGCCGGAGAGCTTCTAATAGGGAACGCTTGGGTTCGGTTGGGTTGTATACCTTTTGAGCGAGACAAGGAAAGGAAGGGGGTGGCCTTGGGCTGGCCAACTCACAAGGAGGCAGCCTTGCGTGGGTGCCCCCCCTCCTCTCCCCAGGGTTGCCAAGAACGCCTGGACCCCTTCGTGCCTGAGCCACGCAAGTGGAGCGCTGTGCGGATTGAGGATTACGGGTACACCCGCATGCAGATCTTCAACCGGACCCACCTCTGGCTTGAGCAAGTGTCGGACGACCAGGTAGGAGCTGGTTCCACCCAAGAGGTCAGCTGGCTGGGGGATTCTGGGCATTATCATCCAGAAAAGCAAAGTCCCCCAGTGTGGGCAGATCCCTGGAGGTGACTCACTGACCAAATGTGGCCGGCAGTCAAGTTGCAGGCTTCAATCGGAAGGCCCTCAGTCTTTCTCCTTTGCTTTTCAGGATGGGAAGGTTGTGGATGGGATTTGGCTGATCAAAGGGAAGCGTGGCCCTGGAGCGTGGCCCTAGCCTCTTTGCGCCGGAAGATCTTGGGTGACGCAGCGGGTCCTCCCTTCCTCCTGGCCGGGGGGGGGGGCTCCTGAGGTCCCCGCTCTCTGATAGCCAGCCGTCTTGGGCGGTGGAGCAAAAGGAGCGGCAGATGCCGCCGCAAGAAGTCACAAAAGGTTGCTGGGCACCCATCGCCCACCCTCCAGCTTTGGACAGGGCAGCCAAAGTGCCCGGCGTCTCCCCGGCAACGGAGAGATCCTCCATGATCTGGGTCAGGACGCCCGTCGGGAGTCAAAGCAGAGCCGCTCCAAAAGGGTCTTTTGGTTTTAGTTTGTTTTTTCTTTTGTAAAAAGTCTGAGACCCTCAATAGATGGCAAGAGATGTCCCTGTTGTCCAGGTGCAGAGCCAGCCGTAGATATGGTAGGATCTGGCTGCCATTTCTGTCCTTCAAAGCAGGAGTAAGAACAGACGCTTCCTTGAGTATGTCCAGGGGGTGTGAAATAAGGAAGGGACAGGCAGGCCTGTAAGGGTGTGTGTGTGTGGGGGGGGCAATACTGCGGACCAGCAGACATACCGTACCTTTGTCTGCCAGGTGGCTTGACTGCAGTGTGCCTTCAGAGCATAACAGCCCTTCGTGATCAGACGACACATCAATTTAGTCCAGCCTTTGACTTCTTCGTATTGCAAGGAAGACGCGTTTGTGGGTTTTTTTCTGTGCTGGAGCTAAAACCAAGTGGCTGGCTTTAGGCACTCTTATGTAAACCATGCCACTGGTCAGTTTCAGGGCACCCTTTGCTCCCTCTGTGTGGGGAGCAAAATGTCCCCGGCTGGGCCTGGGAGGTGTGGGGGGGGCGAGGTAGGTGCTGGAGGGGGGGGAAGGGGT